TCGCCGAATGTTTTCATCGTCGTGACGTGTTATTTAAGCCGTTGACGTTCATTGTCTCTAAATCACAAATTTGTACCACGATAACGATGACAATTATTTAGTTTGTTACTCGCACGGAATTGTGCATCCGGTGAGACAAGATTCTAAAGGCTAATTAATGAATAAATCCACGACCTAAATTGTTCGATTGAAAAGCGGCAATATAAAATACTGAAAATAAAACAGTGAGCAAGTTTGAAAACGCTTTTCTAGGCATTGAAAATCGCAAAATTTCGTCTGCCTACGGCACACATTATGTTCTCTCCGCGTTTAAAACATATCTTCACTAGAATCAAAACACGGTGAATTGTGAGCGGGATTTACCTTGTTATCCATTACTTTAAAATTGCCGTCGAAAATGTTCGTGTTAACATTAAATGAGGTTGAGAACGCGACTTTTCCCAGTTTGTGATGATGTATAAGATAGCTAATCTATAAAGTACTTTCGAACAAAATTTTTTGTATTGAAATAAAATTTATCGGTGAGATTTTAAAACAGAATTACGGATTTTTCGGAACGTTTCATCCTTAAAAATAATCGGGGTGGCAGCATTGCGATTGAAAGGAGTCAGTGTTACAAGTACATCTTAAATTTGTGGAATTTGCAAAAAAGCAAAAATACGGATCAAAACAATATATAATCGGTCAGTTTACCACACATATTTATGCCCGCGGAATGCCGTGGTGTTTTAGAGTGGCTCTTATTTTGTCGACACAACCACAGTTTAAATTGATTATAATAAAATTAATAATAAAGCAAGACATTTTAAATATGCCCGTACCGTCATGAATTGATTACTTTGCAGACAGAAAATTCATTTTTCGTTGAAAAAGTCGGCTCTTTCAACAAGTGGTGTTACCGCGGCGACTGTTTGACATGGATTTCGAGGCGGTAAAGGCGGGTGGAAATAAACAATATATTAATTATTGTAACGATCTAAAATAACAAGCGCCCGTGCTTGAATAAGGGCCGGTTTGAATAAGGGCCCGGTTAATGATTTGGTTGAAAAAAATATGGGCCCGGGCTATAAAACAAGCAAATACAGTAATCTAAATTCCCAAATCCTGGTTTGTTCTGTTTTTAGTTAGTCTTTTACGCGTGTCAAGAGGAATTTTTTGCGTATGTCTGATTTCAATATTTTCTTTTAGATTTTACTGTCAGATGTTGACTGGCAATCGCTGTCGGAAGAATAATTATTTTCGGCACCCTTTTTTTTGAGTTTTTATAAAATAAAACAATATTGCAATAAACAATATTCAACAATAACAACAACAGTAGTTCGACATAATATACATCAATGACATATTGCAATATTACTCTGACTATATTGTACTCTCCATTTTTTTTTCAAATCTAGTCGGCATTATGATACTAGATGTTTTATGTAGGCCAGGGCGCCAACATGCGAATTTCACAACGCCACATTCTAAATCCGCTAGGTGGAAATAGCGAACAAGATTTTTCATGGATTTGTGTTATTCCTCAAGGGGACGTTGTTCGTTTTTAGGTTTTTATATAATTCCTAACTTTGCTCTCTTTTCTACCGCTGACCGTCTCTGTCGAGCATAATAGTTTATAACTGCAAATATTTTGTTGTACTGCAAAAGTGAAACTGTTTGTATTGTCAGATTGTGGAGTTCAAAATAAACTAACGGTATCTATCTGTAGTTAGGAGTAAATAGAGAGAGTAGACTCGGAAATAGGGTACCGTACGGTACCGATACCGTAAATGTTGTCTGTTGTAGGTACCGGTATTCATTCTGGAAATAAACTTATACCGGTACAGTTATACGGTACCGGTACGTATCTACCGGTATAACCGGTCTTCAGTCTGCAGACCTGGATATTCTTTCTAGGAAATAAAATTTCAAGACCAGAACACACTGGCAGTTTCAATTTTTGCTTTAAACAAAACCAATTAATAATCTGTTTTCCCCCATTTTGTTTCCAGTAGGCTACTGCAGTATGTAATAAGATTACAGAATTAACTCTGCATGCTTTTAACCAGTTAGCAATGGATGATTATATGAAGTTGATGAGCATAGCAGAAGTGTGCTCTTTGACCGAAAAAGATGACGGAATTATGGTTTTATCATTGGGAACATTAGTAGATTACGATCCAGTCACAGATACTGTGAGATTATATGATTCCCATAAACGACAATATATCTTACTCGATGTGTCCGGGGTTCCCACCAAATCATTATGTATAAACCATTATGTATTCTGTGAAATAAATATCTTTTCTGAATGTATTTAGAGTAGCAGACAGTTTCGAACACTTCTTATATTACCAGTCTGACTCAAGCCTTTCTTCAACTCTGCAATCTTTTTAAAACTGTTTTTATGCCCTGAATTCCCTCCATTATTTACATCTTCACTTTATTTCCAGCGTCTCACAATGGGCAATAAAGCCTCTTACAACCAAGTTCCGATAGGCGATATGAGAGAGAGAGTAGACTCGGAAATAGGGTACCGATACCGTAAATGTTGTCTGTTGTAGGTATTCATTCTGGAAATAAACTTATACCGGTACAGTTATACGGTAACGGTACGTATCTACCGGTATAACCGGTCTTCAGTCTGCAGACCTGGATATTCTTTCTAGGAAATAAAATTTCAAGACCAGAACACACTGGCAATTTCAATTTTTGCTTTAAACAAAACCAATTAATAATCTGTTTTCCCCCATTTTGTTTCCAGTAGGCTACTGCAGTATGTAATAAGATTGCAGAATTAACTCTGCATGCTTTTAACCAGTTAGCAATGGATGATTATATGAAGTTGATGAGCATAGCAGAAGTGTGCTCTTTGACCGAAAAAGATGACGGAATTATGGTTTTATCATTGGGAACATTAGTAGATTACGATCCAGTCACAGATACTGTGAGATTATATGATTCCCATAAACGACAATATATCTTACTCGATGTGTCCGGGGTTCCCACCAAATCATTCTGTGGAGAAAAACAACTTTATCAAGTCATTGGACGGTTTCGTTACTGCTTGGTTAAAGGTCTAATGAATGTCAAATTGCAAGTACAGTCATTGGTTCTCAGAGCTGGTGCGGAATCGGCCATGTTAGACGTTGTCAAAGAATTGCAATGTGGGTTTGTTGAGAAGTATTTAAAGCAATATTGATGTGAATATTCTGGTTTAAGCGGTGATGCGTGATGGCCAGAATATTTGTTACCTGCTTATTGCTATTGTAATGCCATCAAAAAATGCAAAGTTGATTTGAGTGACTGATACAACCCCCGTTGAGCGATGATCTGTGACTTGTCAGAATATTTAAAACCTGTGCATAACTGTTCAGATGCTGTCATTGAAAGCATTGCTTTGTGGGAAAATATTGTAAATATGACTGTTATACTTTGTGCAATTTCATTGTAATACAATTGCGATGATCATGACTGGTCGGAAATTGTCTTCGATAAAATTCAATGTAGATTTATTAAAAATTGTCTAATTTCATCCTAGACTGGAATACCTAGATTCTGTATGATTAGGATGATAGGGTCATGTCCCTAACAAGTGAGATTCAGTTCCTTCCATTCCTAGCATGAGTAAATATTTGTTTTCAACCTCGTATAGAGCAAATCAAGAAAATTGTAGCTTAATTTAGTGTTGAATATTGAAATGTCGATGCATGCCTTTGAACAACTCAGTATAGCAGTGTTAATCCTCGATACAGTATCCTTACAGTCAATCCGCTACACAAAGTCAAAGAGTAGTTGAATCAACTATAACCTTTTTGGCCATAAGTTCCATATGTGATATACCCTGCTATGGTTTTGTTTATTTATTTATTATAATATGATTTACCGGTTGGGTAATCATAAGATATGCAGCAGCTAATTGCCACCCTCTATATAATCTGCTGTAATCCTGTTCCATGGTTTACTTGATCTGGGGATTATCAAAACTGAGTAATTATATGTTCTACAAAATCATTATGAATTCAAAAAGGTGTACAGTGAAGTAGAGATAAAAATCGCTTTGGTTAGGTTTTGTCTCTTTTTAGTTATCAGATTTTCTGGGTTTGAACACGATGGCCCTGGTGCAATGCCAAACTGGTAATAATCAGGTTCAAAAATATTTTATCTTTATTGGAAGCTTATACAGGGCCGAATGAAATAAAACAACTGTGATTTACACTTTCCACTAAAGAAAATATTGATTCATACATACATAAAACCCCGTACTTATCAATCTCAGCCAGGGTGAAAGAAATGGGTAAGCAATGCCACACTGGTAATATTCCTGAATAACAGTAGGTTTTTCTTTTAGATTTCTTGAACATTGGGGATTCGCTATCGAACAAAACCAGTTTCAAATATTTACTTGTTCTTTACATTTGTAAACTGATCTTTCTCTCTTCATAACTTATAATTTATTAATGAAGCAGATGGTCATAGATCGTCTGAATAATTAGTCAAACAATCAATTAACTGCAGAATGGTTACTGTGGTATTCACAGAGTGTAATTACACAGCTAGTCAGGAACAGATACAGAATTTTTTTTTTGCAAAAATCTCTGAGCAAGCTCGAATGTTGAGAGTTATTGAAACAGTACTCCCGAAATATGCGTACCAAGATGGCGGACACCGGAACGTAGTATGTGTACCAGGTTAGGGTTAAGCCATGATTTCAGGTACAAATACTACGGGAGTCACTTGGCTTGTCTCCGAACTCGTAATAAAACTAAAATGAGGAATTGGAATAAATTTATGGCCTAACCAGGTACACATACTACGTTCCGGTGTCCGCCATCTTGGCTCACATACTACGGGAGCGCCATTGAAACTATCAAATTTGTGTACGGAATTATGTTTAGTGGATACTGATTGACCTTGAGTTTGTGAGAGTTTTGCTAACTGGTTATACTTTCTGTGTTGTTAATTAGGAATGTTTGAGCAGTCCATATACATTTCTTTGGTTTTCTCTCATTTGCCCAGGCAATTTGTTTTGAACTTTTTTTTATATTTTCCCAGGAAGCCTTAGTTTAAACTATGCATAATATTCATATACCTGTGTGCCAAGCGATGTTGGAGTGATTCCAAGGTGTCATCCACATAGTCAAGTGTCTGGGAAGGTAAATAATGTATTTATTTTTGATAATATTGCAATTCGAAGATTTTGTTGACATTCTTCTGGGAAATATTGTAACACATTGGCTGTGGACATATTTTCAAATATATTTGAGTCAGAATCTTGGGCTGGAACAAAAGGTGCTTGCAAACACAAAATATCTTTCATTATTCTGTCAATCAAGATGCATTTACCGGTTCAAAATATATTTGATATTCCGTGTTTGAAAATATTTTTTTAGAATGTAAAATAATAACCATTATGTATTCTGTGAAATAAATATCTTCTCTGAATGTATTTAGAGTAGCAGACAGTTTCGAACACTTCTTATATTACCAGTCTGACTCAAGCCTTTCTTCAACCCTGCAATCTTTTTAAAACTGTTTTTATGCCCTGAATTCCCTCCATTATTTACATCTTCACTTTATTTCCAGCGTCTCACAATGGGCAACAAAGCCTCTTACAACCAAGTTCCGATAGGTGATATGAGTTCGCCATCGTTACATGCAACCGATATCAAGAAACCAAAGGATGCTTCACAAATACCGGAGAATGTCGGGGGTAAGAATTTGCGATATTTATATTACTAAATCGATATTTGAGAAAATGAACCAATAAATTATGCCTAATCGTTCGTACAATAATTTCTTTTATTTACCATTGCTTTCCTGTCTAACAATGTTTTAATTTTTTTTCCTATTAATTAACTGTGGTAGTCAGAGTGACAATATTTGGGCGACGTGAAAGCCCTATATTACCCTAGACTAGACCGTGTGAGCATCGCACTTCACAAATCTCGGGTTCAAATTCCTTCCAAATAATATGCTGCCTTTTCTATATCAGGAGATATAGTATGCTAGTATGTCTTAGCCCGAAAGGAAGGCGTGACTAAGCTTCATCATGTAAAAAACTTCTTTATCTCTCCTATGCTTTCTTGCTAATTCTTCGCATGTGGTGCGATTGCCTTTGCGCTTGGCCAGACCGTGTTAGAATCGCAGTTTACACATCTTTGGTTCAAATCCCTGCTTCTTCAATGACCTTGTGTATGTTTTTGCTCAGAACGAAGGCGTGAATTGTGTATTTTAGCTCTCTTACGCTTTCTCTGCTAATTCTTATTCTTAACCCTCTCATCGCAGGTTCTGATCTTATGTTTGTATTCCACGAGACAGAAGATGACTCAGAGGAAAGGGTCGTTCATGAACAGATTAATAATCAGAGAAATATTGATAAAGAATTAAAGTACACAATCACTCTGAATGATAAGTAAGTATGGAAGTCAAATTTGTGAATTAAATTTATTCACAACTATTTCATAAGTTCCAGTAGGTAGCAGTGGCCTATTGGTTAGACCTATTGTATATACTCGCATATAAATTGACCCCCTAAAACGGCAATTTATAAATGGTTTCCTACAAGCCGACCATAAAAATCGTAGGCTTTTGTCGTGAGAACTTAGCATTGTTCGATAAGTAGCTGTTGGAATTAAATCAGCATAATTTCATTTCGCTTGAGTGTGTTCAGAGTTATGCGCGTATAAGCCATCCCTTTTGTTTTGAATTTTATTTTTGTGCTCTAAACTCTGCTTATATGCGAAGATATACAGTAATTGTGTTGGCATATCCTGGGCTAAATCCCATGCTATTCACATAAGCCAGGTTCACTAACTTGGATTGACAATTACATTAAATTATAAGAGTGGCGGTCACACTTGAGTATTTCTTTCATGTTGGATAAAAAAAATAGTGTGGAATGCAAATAGAAAGTGTTTCAAGTGCACGGCCAAATTGCTGAGATAAATACTTTGTTTTTGTGGTGGTGGAATCACATTCACTGACATGTATGGAAAGGGCCCTCTAAGAAAGCTTAATTGTCTGTTGAGCTAAGGTTCCGACTGCCAGTCTAGTATAGGAATACTCAACTAGTTAATACTTCCAAAAGCCCAGACTTCATGGAATTGTGAATTAAAATACTGACAAAGTAAGAGTTAGTCGTACATGCAGTGATCAAATATTTATGGATGTCATACATGTAAGCAAAACCGCTGTTTAGAAATGGAACTGGAAATAGGCGTTGTTATCTTATAAGTGATATCAATGAAATACTAAATCATAACTTATTCTCCAGACTGATATGTGAAAGGCTGAACCATGCAGAGACGACCGATATTAAATCTTTATGCACGATGCTTCAACCAGGTGAGTTGTATGTAAACGAGACTGCTTTGAATAATTACCATAATTACATTCTCAAATATTATTTCTTAATATGGAACTCTAAATTTGTTCAAAGTTGAGTCTGTTCATTGCCACACTAGCCTCACCCCATCATTCCATGAATTTATGTAGGTGAATGTTTTACTATTGCAACGACTTATTTATGCCGATATATTTCAGACACATGGATTTTAGATTGGCTTATTCTGAAGCAGTGTTTTATGACTATTCATAAATAGGATGTAGAATTAGTCATTGCTAGGCCAGTCATCAGGTGTATTTTTGCGTCGCCAGTTTGCAGTCTGATGTAATCATTATTGTAAAATGCTCATCTGACGTTGCAACATAAAATTTTTCAAACTATGATGCAAGACATTTGGACCATTTAATGCTGCTGAAATCATGTGTGAGACTATATTATGGGACTAGGGCTTACATAGGCAAACCTTGCCCCGCGGGCCAAATCCGGCTCGTTGGGTAATTCACTCTGGCGCACCTGATGCTGCCACAACCAACTTAAACCAAATTTTGATATTTTACCTAAAAAAGGAAGGAATTTTTTAAGATTGCCATTAAATATAGTTTTTCCATGAGGCATTTTGTTTTCTACTTTTGTAACACTGTAAATATTCTTAAAATGTAACTTTCACGTCACACTTACATGGCCCGTCAGTCCAGATGGGCAAATTTTTGGCCCCTGGTTCCAATAACCTTGCCCACCCCTGTGCTAGAGTGTTATGCAATCGTATTTCATTTGGCTTGTTGTTAGTAAGAACTAATTTATCATTAATGATTTACCGGGAATTTTAATACTGGCATTAGAGTAGATGTTGCTCTGCTCTGAGTTTGATTGAAATGGATGGCGAATTACTTTTTCAATGCTAAAGATTGCTGACCCGTGGATAGATATTGCCATGGGTATGCTTGAATGTGTTTAATGTAAATGAACTAAAATTTATTGCCATGGAATAAAGATTATCCAAGTGAAAGGAGATTATGTTATTTCTATTCAAATTAAGTCATTTAGGGATTGAAAATTTCTTGGTTCATTTAACAAAATGAAAGAATTTAAATACGACTTAGCCTACAATAGCTCTCCTTTACTTTTGATATGGCAGCTTGAATTGAGTTTTTGTATTTATCTCTGTGGAGGAAGAAATATAAATTATTGTCTGCTGGTCGGTTATCAAGTCAGGTTGGGTCTGACATTGATCCGCAAATTCAAATGCTGTTTAATTATTACTACTCGAATATTCATCTAACGATATCAAAGAGGGCAGTTATGATCTTCTTATAATTATCAATATGGGTCTCCATAGCTTCTGAGTGAGTGTGTGTAACGCACAACCACGATTCTATATAATTTAGGCCCCTCTTATTCACAGATGAATCTGTGGGTGTGTGTGAAATTGGCAAATTCACACAGGTGATGCTGATCAATTATTTTAGTGGCCTATAACCTCAATCTTTAGTTAACACTTAGTTCATAATTAATCAACCTTTAATCATCTGTTTCGCTCATTTAGGTGACATCGTTGAGTTTTGTGCGGAATACCACACCCACCACTGGGTGGTGTATGTGGGTAACTCACAATGCATCAGGTTGAAGGCGGGAATGGTGACTGAGGAAGTTATAATGGTGAGTAAACACTCGTTTATTTGAATGAATCGTTTTAACAAGTGGCTCAAGTGTATAGATCCAAGGGTCATTTGAAGGGATATTCCAAGTGACTCTACGGGATAAATCCAGAAATTTTGCATGTCATTGCCAGCAACAAGTTTTATCTCATTGTCCAATGTGGGTTGAACAAAACTGCACAAACCACAATAGTCGCACGTAACTTACTTGGTGGATGTAAAATATATAGTAAAATAAAGCGTGACACTACAGGACGGCACGGCCACCATGCATTAACCTTTCATTGATGAAATTCCACAGTTGCTTGGAATGGCCATGAAGGTGTTCCCATGAATTAAGATGAGATGTCAAAATTTTGGGTAAAGGTGTTATAGCACTAAGATTAAATTTCGACGCTCCATAAGTACGTGTACCAATATAGAGGTAACTAATTTTGTTCGCCTATTTTTTATCAAGTTGTGTGAAGGGTCTGAAACCTATTGGCAGGAGGTATATTCACTTGGCTAACACAGACAGTTCCCGAACTAAAATAAGGAAAATCAGAATAAAGTTATGGCCTAACCCTAACGCTGGTACACATACTACTCAAAGTACTGTCAGTTTCGAACCTATAAGTCATAGAAGAATGTGATTTTTGTCCTTGAACAGAACCTTTTTTGAAGTGGAAGGAATGACAAATATTTCATCTCTTTTTTTCTATTTCTCAGAACATCCACCCAGACCGAATGGCGAGGCTCGTGAATGGTGTTTATAAATTAAAGTCATTGCCGATACATCAGGTGAGCAGGTTTGAATTGTTAGAAATAGAATAGGTTTAAAAGATTTTGCTCAAAGCAATGTCCACTGAAAATTAGGCAAGAATCATCTCTGAGCAGAGTTAGTAGTTTCACCACAGGCTCTTTCCTTGCATATTAAATTTGGCTTGTGCCAGAAAATTGCTGAGCAGGGGCAAAGCTTTGAGAGCCGGACTCTTGAAAAACCATGTTATCCGGCCTCCGACCAGACCAACTAGCAGGTACAGTCTAACTTGGCATTCAGAAATTTCAGACCCCCCCCCCCCCCCTTCAAAAACTCCTGCCTGCGCCCCTGTTGTTGAGTTTTGCCATTCAGGTTGTTTTCAGCTTCTCCACTGGTAAATCTAACTGTGCGTCCGGGTGCCCAATGGTGTCCACTCACAGTAAATTATGTGCATTTCTGTGACGGTCCAAATGCAGTTTGGCAGTGTTCCTGTAGGAGATTATTACTGGTATAAATATCGACTAAATACCGTACCATTGAAAGATATCTCATTTGCCATTGTCATCAATGTTCCGTAGCCAATATGCATGTGAATTGTGAATACAGCTGTTTTTTAAATAATGTTTATTAAGAGCTGGTTGAAAACACAACCAAGTGATGACCTCGGTGCCCAATCTCTAAGACCACCACTTCACCTAAGGTGCGATAAATTGTGCGAGCAATGCAGAGCAGGAAAGAGCCATCAATCAAAAGTAGACTCTGCAGTCTTGACTCGAACATGTCAAACCATACCGAATTGATCTGAATAAGTTTCCTCAATGATCGCCATTGGCAATGAACGGTGTATCTTCATAATTACCAGAACCAAGTCCACTAAAAAACTTTGTATTAGTGTATTCTTGTCTAGAGCCTGATATTAACATGAGTTTTGAATGGTTCTCCTCCCGCAGGTTTGTCATGCAGCAAGGACACAGCTCGGCAAGGATTCCGTTTGGCCGACGAGTGAATGCTTTGCAGCTTGGTGCAGGTTTGGTTGCCCGGAGTTCATGAGTTCAAAGTTGGAGATAAAGGATTTGGATTCACCAAAGGTAATGGGGTTTGGTTATATAGGGCGTCCATAAAGTCTCGAAATTGCGAAGGGAGTTTATCAATATCATATATTGTTTTGGCCCCCATAGATGTTAAGTAAAAATACTTGAATGTTTACTGCAGGGGTCTTGAACCTACAGCCGGATCCGGCCTGTGGAGTAATATAAGCCGGCCCTCGACGCTTCACTGAATTATAGTAACAAAACAGCCGTTTTGACGATTATATTCTTTAGACTAAATTCTATTATAATCTAACAAGTATATAATTCACAATTACTCGTTTAATTAGCATATAATTAGAAAAATGGCAACAAAACGCAAAAAAAGTTGATGCTAAGTGCAAAGGGGTCAATGGCGCTGGAAATATTTAAATGGAATTTTATGAGATGCAATGAGAAAATAAATCTATATTCTATTCGAGAGATTTATCGCAGCTTGATTTTCATTATAAAAAGTATCAACCGTTCGGTTTTCAACTTTCTAAAAATATGTGCGCCCGCCAATGACTTGCAACCTTAACTTTGGCCCGCGAGCGACAAAAGGTTGCCGACCCCTGGTTTACTGAATAGAATACAACAAACCTGGTTAAGATTTATTGAGAACTGACTTCATAACAAAATTGAAATTGTAAAATAACTATGGACACCCTGTAAATAGGCGGAGAGCGAATCTAATAAGACTATTTAATCTATATCAGTTTTGTTATAGACCATTCAAAGAATTAATTTATTATCTACCGTACTTCAAGTTTTTTCCCTGCATTTTCCATTAATTTTTTGTATTTTAATTTTTCCCAACAGGCGGAATCCGGAACAGAGAAATGTAAGATTGACATTTATAATGATTTTGGAGAAATTTCAGAAACAAAACATTTTACGAATCTTGTTGAGTTGATTAAGTACAGGAGAATGAGAGAGAAAGGCAATAAACCATGACCGAACTATAGGAGAGACAATTCAAGCATCACAATCAAAATGAGAGAGCAATAGAGCGTGACTGTTTCTCTTTTTTTACTCAATGCACTTGTATAGGACTCAAGTTGTTAATTTCTACTGAATTTTTTTTCGAATTTTATTTCTGTGAAGCCTATAGTATGATACGATTTTCCCCGCTGGTGGCGTATTGTGCTTAATGATGTTGCCGTCCCAGGTTATAATTTTTTAAATCGTCGTACCCGCCGCCTATAATAAGTAGAAGATTTATGTCTTTCTGAAAACAGAGCAGCCAGTGGCGACTTTGCTTGAGGTAAAACTATGAAATTTTTTTAAGTAATGAATTCAGATATAATTACCAGGAAGATTTGACGCAATACCAAGGCACGATGTGATGAAGGTTATTCAAACAATTCCCAATCTTACCAGTTTTGCATGTTATACTATAACAAATGCTTGAAAAACCATCCTAGACCAACAGAATAGTGATTTTGCTTTTCCAATATTGTCTCTCCCATCAAGTCCATGCATCTGAATACAACTGGCCAACCAATCCCATATCCGACATTGACTGGTAACCAGACGAGAGGCAGTTATTTTTCACATGATTTAGCCGACTTATCGACTTTCATTTCCCCACGGATAAATATGTAAATCTTATCCTGTCTCAAGTAAAGCTCGTGTCGGTTGCTTCTTATCAGTCCCGCATGTGGCACTAACACTGACAATCTTTTGCTGTCAACATAGATACCTAGGAATAACATGATTTTAATTCCCCCTTATTGTGTGTCTGCTATCTCAAGTGTCTATAAAGTATTTTTCCTCTACCTATATATTGCAGAGTTTTATGTTTTTATCTTATTAACTTTTTAATTGTGGCCATTGCAAGTCTTATGTGTGCCTACTGCGCTGAATTTCAGGTTTCGACTGCCAATATATGTTGTAATCCAACCCAATCCATTCATGTATTTCCACACACAACATTTTTGGCCGTGGACTCTTATTTGTGAATCTTAGTTTTTACGTTCCCCATGGATATTCGTCCACAACGCACAACCAAAAATATAGGCGGGATTTTTGATTGAAAATAATCATTAAAGATCGATCAGACTCTTTTCATATCGTTGCGGTCTGCACAGGGGGTTTAGGACCGGACCCTAGTTTGTAGAATATTTTTATTTCAAAATTAGGGATTTCAAGTCATCAGACACGCCAATAAAAACGTGCGATATCTCAACTGATAACAAACAACACTGATAAAATGATGATATTTATATTTATGTTAATTTAGATATGATTAATATGAAGATATAGTGATTTATGTAATTTTCCACATGACTTTCCCAATTTAGAATATATTTGAGATTCGAAAATGTTTTTTCGGAATGGTGAAATATTCGGTTTCGGCAATCCCTGCCAACTGTTCTCTCTCAGTTCGAAAAGTTTTTTTTTACCTCCCGAGAAAACTGTATTTTGGTTACGAAAACTCCTGTGTTTGCAATAACCGTTTTTTTATCAAGTTTTGTTAGAACTTGGAACCCCGTTTCTAAACTGCACTCTCAACTCATGTTATTCATTGGACCTTATTTCATTGAAACATTCTTGAAACATTTCAGTTTTTGCACGATTCAATGCTTTTTGCACACACACAATCGCACAAAACCACTTAATTATCAAACTAACTTTTTTGAAAATATATCCATGTCGCTTATATCATGCTAAAATTCGTCTATCCAACTTTTCTCTAACAATGTTGTAGTTTCCCTAACATAATGTCAAGTCCTGTCTTAACATATTCATTGCTATTTATATGTCAGGGCCATTTGTAGGTACTCCCTAAGTATGTGTGCCAGGTCAGGGTAAGCCATAATTTCATTCCGATTTTCCTTGTTTTAGTTCTATTACGAGTTCGGGGACTGTCTGTGTTAGCCTTGTCCATAGGTTTCAATCCCTTTATACAACTTTATGTAGAAGAGGTAAACAAAATTAGTATACTGGAACTCATACTTCAGGAGCGCCCATTTGAAGCTCTTACAATATCCTCAGGATAAAACTCACTGTAACCACAACAACCTGTCATCAAATTTTTTGCGCGACTTCGGCGCTCATACTGACCAAGTTTTATTCTTTTTATTGGTACATTATTTCTGTTACTGTATTCAAATATTTCCGCTGTATCAAATTGTATCCAAGTTTGGGATTCTTGATTTATTTACACAGAGACATAATACTAGAATAGTAGACGTTTAGTATTAATCTGTACCTCAGACCCCACTATGTAGACCAGGAGTGGGGAACTTCTCTAGTCGGCGTGCCAGATGTGGGAAAATAAAGTCCTCGGTGGGCCGGATTATAACATGAATAGTATTCAATATCCTAATCACATATTTATTCGCTAATGCAAGAAGGAAAATTATAAATCGCGTTTAAAGTAAAGTTTAAACTTTACAAAAAATAGAGACCAAAAAACACATAATGTAATATCACAATGTACTGAAGTACAGTCAGCGGGCCGGTCAAAATCTTGTAGGCCGTATGTTGCCCACCCCTGATGTAGAGGCTACTCCCCTAGTATGTGTACCAAGTTAGGCTATAATTTTATTCTGATTTTCCCTATTTTAATTCTATTACAAGTTCGGGGATTGTCTGTGTTAGCCAATAGAAAACACCCCCTGCACACAGGTTTCAGTTCCTTTACACAACTTGATGTAAAGTAGGTGACGAAATTAGTTACCTCCATATTGGTGCACATACTTCTGGAGCGCCATGTAGACATTGTGTAGATCTTACATCAATCTCACCCAGACCAGAAAAACCCGTCTTTCTATAAACAAACCATCTTTTGTTCACCAGTTCTACTTTTAGTTGGTTTGACACCTTGCTTTGCGCAAACTTGCAATATAAGATTTTGGTATAACTTTTGTCAGTATTCCACTATTATTAGTTCAGGTGCCCAACATTAAGATACTTCTTGTATGAAACCCCATATAGGTCTGAGCACTTTTAAGTTTTTTTTTTATCAGTGCTCTACCTAAGTTGTGGGATCGCGACCTTGTTTTGCAACTTTAAAGGCAAGACCTTTCAATATTTTGCATTCAAATTCATTGAGAGAATGAAATATATATTGCTTTGGTATTTACAATCTAATCTATTGTGTATTTGCTTATGATAAAATAATCTACTGTTGCTTGTATATTTATGATCACATAATGTATTTATCTTACCCAGCATTATTACTCCATAATGTATTTGGCTTATTATTTATTATATTAACCCCTTATTGTCTTGTCCTGTCATTTTCTTTTTAACCCGTTACAGTGTCGTGGCATTCTAGTCTAGAAAAATTATGTTTTTAAATTTTAAATTTTTCAAATGTTACAGGCATTTTAATCTTTTCAGTAGAATTTGTTGTTGATTCAAAAGCTACCCCCACTCCAGATAGAGAAACTTTTGACTCCGATTTTTGAGAAAATCGAATTTTCATGGCAAAAAGTTGGTTTGTACAGTTGTGTGTTCACTTGGGCCTATTTGTGTTTTTATTCTCTGACAATCTTTTTATTTGTGCAATATCTAATACACGACATTGTAAACAGAATGGAATTGTCAACTGGTGAAATGGGGGGAGGAAAGCCGATAAGATGGCTAATTAATGCAGTCGACCATTTGACTGAAAAATGTACAATAATTTATGTATAGATGATCAATTTAGCGAACTGAACTAGCTCTTCAATATGAAGTATATATATATATATATTGCGATGGGTACTCCCGAAGTATGTGAACCAACATGGCGGACACCGGAACGTAGTATGTGTACCAGGTTAGGGTTATGCCATAATTTTAGGTGCTCCCGAAGTATGCCAACCAAGATGGCGGACATCGAAACGTAGCATGGGTAACAAGTTAGGGTTAGGCCATAATTTTATTCCAATTTTCCTTATTTTAGTCCTATTATCAGTTCGAAGACTAACCAAGAGCCTCCCGTAGTATTTATACCTAAAATTATGGCCTAACCTAGTACACATATTACATTTCGATGTCCGCCATCTTGGTTCGCATACTTCAGGAGCCCCTAATTTTATACCAAATTATCCTTATTTTAGTTACGAGTTTCGAGACTAGCCAAGTGACTCCCGTAGTATTTGTGCCTGAAATTATGAACTAACCCTAACCTGATACACATACTACTTTCCGGTGTAGACCATCTTGATTCACATACTTCGAGAGTACAAAATAATACAGTCAACCATCTGACTGGGAAATGTTTGTTAATTTGTGTATGGATGACCAATTTAGCGAACAAGCGTAAAAAATGAGATTTTTTGCTGTTTTGCTGATGCTCTATGAATACTATTTTTGCTGAATAGTTTTATCAACTTGTAAATCTGATCCGCTCACATATAAAATCGTAATGTACGGTCAACTAATAAAAAGGTAATTCACTTATTCTATAGTTAACCGATGGGCTTGAGTGGTTAACCGTTGCCAGTTTTATAGAAATACACTACAGCGTATATTCGTAGAAGTCTATAAATCATCATTTCTCGTTCACAGCCCGGTTCCCGTTCATTAGTTAAACTATTTTAGACACTAGACGAGAGGTCTAGCTCGCGAAATATAATGTGGGAATAAGTATTCATAGTAGGGATGTCCAAAACGAATAGAATATTCGACCGTTGTCAGTGATTGAGATACGCGTATATAAGTATAAGTCAATAGATCACCATATCTCGTTATGCGAGAGACTCACAGATGCCCCTTTAGTCATTCATGATTCAAACCGTTTATTAGAAAACTGAACCGCCGACATTAAGCGGTTAACTGTGGGTCTACAAATGATTAACCGTTGTTAGATGGTTTTGCAATGTAAAACTTTCGGTAATGTACAGTCACAGAGTAAAGATCAAACATTCTATCGTCAACCGTTAGCCTTGAATTGTTAACCGTTGTCACAATCGAGCTGGGAAGGATATAAATCACCATAACTCTTTATGCAACGGCCTCACAGATGACTCCAGTTCTCGTTATTCATTCATTATTCAAACCACTAATTAGGAAACCAAGGCGCCGGACGACCGGTAAAGGAATCGCATTTCAGTCAAAGGCTGAGAATTCTATTCACTTGTCGAATTTCAGATCGTGGAGTTAATGAATTAGTAAATTCATTGTCTTTCGTTCTAGCTATGGAACTGAAGGAGCAAGTTTATTTCCATTCTCAAAGAGGATAACCTAATACACTCTTGTGAATATATAAACAAATAAATGTTTTCCGTGAATGTAACTCTTTTCAACAGTGAAAGGCGACAAAAATAAATATCTGAAAATGACTGGTTGACTAATTCCATTCCCAATAATTATTGGACGAAAGGTGGCTGGCTATGTGATTTGGACGTCTTACCGACCACGTATTCCTCACTCATGGGATAAGTATGAAAACCTTACCCGGAGTAGAAATAAACAAAACTCACATTGACAATCTCAATGCGTAAATTGATGCCTAAATCTTACTCAGAGAAGGGTTTTCGTTATTCCTAAGTGACCTTGCTTAAGCGCTTGAAAAATAATTTTCAAGCAAGGCGTAATTTTTGCGAGTTCTTCGGATGCTTGGATGACATTTCTGTTTATTTTCTGTCACGAACTCTGGA